ATCGGTTGCTTAGCCTTACGTCGCCCTTCCAAGGAACTTCAGGAAGGCGCCGCGTAACAATACCACCGTCATTATTATCTAATACCACCATCCAGCATCCCACCATTATTGACTATCACCCCTGCCATTAACAACTACCACCACCATCATCCTCAACCATAACCACTCACCCCATCTCAACTACTACCACCAGTCATCCCCCCACTATCATCAAGTCAATGTCTATACCACCACCTTCCTTAACCACAACTATTACTACCAATCATCACTAACTACTATCCAGAACCATCAGCATCAACCAAAATCACCTCTAATCGATGCCTCCATTCAATATCCACAAGCACCACTGTTAGCAATCATCACTACCAACTACCATAATATTATTTTTTAAAAATACTTTATTAATAGAATATTAAATTAATTAGTATTTTATTTAAATTTTATGTTTATTAATTCTTAAATAAAAATCAAATATTAAAAATATAAACAATCTTAATCATTTAGTATTTAAATATTAATATATATTTTAATATTCATATATATATTCAAATATTTTATTTTTAATATACATTTTAATATTCAAATGTGCGTTCAGATTCTGACGCCTTAATCTTTAAAGAAACGAATTAGATCTTAGTCCAGTTCTAGACAAAATCTGGCTGCAATTTAAAAAATCTATCATTTTAAAAAAAAATCCAAAAAAAAATCTTTATTTTGCCCAATTAGGCTATCAACTATGTCCAAAAAAATCCAGTCATTAAAAGAGCATGATAAAATACATTTTATTGGATTAGGCTATTTTGTCCCCAAATCATCAAGAGATTATGATGGATAGAATTCCTCCACCTTAATTAAAGGTTAAGGTACACGGGACGTGAATCTCAATTAATCAACAATTAAGTACATAAAACTATTTAGTGAGAATAATTTATTCACTAACAATGTTATGTAGATATAACAAGTTACGTGAAAATATTAGCATAAGATTTAAATATTTCGTCTCCAAAAATAGTAGTTGTTTAGACCATCTCCAACCTTACTAAATATTATACCAAATCCTATTTGGGTGTAATATTTGGTGTTTTGGTGCTCCAACCCAACACCATTTCTTACACCATTTTGATGTGTAAATAGTGTTATACCAACACTATTCATCAACACCATTACTATTTATCAATATTTTATTATATAATATTTTTAATTTAACATATTATAAATTTTACTTTTTTTATTTATGCCCCTAATATACCTAAGAGTTTTTTATGTAATATCTTTATAATGTTAATTTTACATCTTAAGTGTGGTGTATAATTTTTATAAATTAATTTTTGTATATATTATTCTTATATAAAATTGTAAGTTAATTTTATTATAAGTTATAACTGAATTATCCATTAATATGTATAATGTATAATATTTGCTTATAATTTATATTATTTAAAAATTTATGGTGTAAAATAATTTTATATTAAATTGTTATATAAGAAATAAATATGAATTATATGGGATGAATATGTAAAAAAGAAAAAAAGAAAGAATTTGTTTTATGAAATAAAAAAATATAATTTAAATATAAAAAATAATATAATATAGAAGAGAGAAAAGAATATAAAAGGGATATTCTTTTTTGGTGTAAAAAATAGTGTAATGGGTTCGAGTTAATTTTCATCATTTTTGTATTTACATTATTTTGATGTAAATAATATTGCTTAAGGTTGGAGATGCCCTTAAAGCAATCTCGGGTCTAAGGTGGGAAAGTGTATGAAGTTACGCTAAAAGTGGTGGCTGCTGGTCGATTTAGAGTATAACTAAGTGGAGTTTATGCTACTTGTATACTTTGATTTGTAACATAGCATTAATAAATAAACACATTGTTACAAATATAATTTGTTAATGATATTAAACTTTTGAATTAGATAAAAAAAATTAAAATCATATATACTTTAGTATAACACCAAAATTACTAGATTCGAGTTTCAACAATCCAAGAATTTAATTTATGTACCTCTAGATAGAGATAGTTGAAATTTACCTTCGTCGTTTCGCATATGCACAGCTGTTATGGATCTTAGAAAAAAATATGCAAGCAGCAAGAAGGTTGAAAAGAGGATTGAAAAACTGTCTCTAAAATTTTATTAATCATAGGGCTTTAAATAGCCAAATAAATAAAGTAGTAGACTCCTCCTACAACTAAATTACTAAACTCGTACTATAATTAAAATTCTGAATCTTCTAGCAGACTCCTCCTAAAACTAAACAACTAATTATTCTAGAAAACAATAGCAGTAACAGATGCAAAATCCAACATTCATCCTTGCTTCTATTGCTGCAGTCTAAAGAAGGTCATCCTCAATTCCTTTTTCTGCTATTAGTGCCTGTGCATGAGCATCTTTGAACTTGCACACTTCTGTAACATGACCTTTTTGTTTGTAATTTTCACATAATGCATCAGGTCTCCACCAACAAAATTTTTCTAAGTGTGTTTTCTTTTTGCAATATTTACAATAAGGACAATCGACTTTTTCTTTTTGGTGTTTCGCATAAAAAATACCCTCAGTAACTTTGTCTTGTCTAAAAGCCCTTCTTTGCTCTTATGCTTGAAGAACACTTATTAATTCTGCAACAGAGATGGTAGAGAGATCTTTAGACTCTTCCAGAAAGGAAATTTTGGATTCAAATTTCTCGAGAATTGTCACAAGAATCTTTTCAACTATCCTGTCATCTTTGAAATTCTCGCCAAGTAACCTGATTTTATTGACAATTAAAGAAATTCGGTTAGAATACTTAGCGATGGTCTCATCATCTTGCACTATAAGAGATTCAAAATCTCTTTTCAAATTTAAAATCTGATTTTGTCTGGCTCGTTCACTTCCTTGATACTCCTGTTTGAGTGTTTTCCAAGCTTCTTTTGATGTCTCACATGCAATGATTTTAGAGAAGATTGAATCTGCAACTGAATTTTGAATTGTAGTTTTGGCTTTGTATTTTTTGGTTTTCTCATCTGAATGAGCTTTGATTTGGGCAAGGGTAGGATTTGCAGGAAGTGATTGTATAAGTTTGTCTTTCATTACAACTTCCCATAGATCATAAGTTTCAAGATAAGATTTCATCTTCACTGACCAAATCTGATAATTTTCACCGGTGAAAGTTTGTGGGGTATTCAAAGAGAGATCGCTGCTTGCCATTATTAAAAATTTGGTTAAAAATCGGTATGGGTAAAAATGCGTATGGTTTAAAAGTGATTGAAATTGGTTATTTTTCAGCGAATTCAGAGATCTGTCAAGATCAATGGAGGCTCTGATACCACTGTTATGGATTTTAGAAAAAATATGCAAGCAGCAAGAAGGTTGAAAATAGGATTGAAAAAATGTCTCTAAAATTTTATTAATCATAGGGCTTTAAATAGCCAAATAAATAAAGTAGTAAACTCATCCTACAACTAAATTACTAAACTTTTACTATAATTAAAATTCGGAATCTTCTAGCAGACTCCTTCTAAAACTAAACAACTAATTATTCTAGAAAACAGTAGCAGTAACAGATGCAAAATCCAACAACAACTATATTAACCAACAATTCAGCAAACAAAGAGCAATGCTTTCTGATCTTTAAAGAAAAATATGGCCTTTTTTTTTATTAATGGGATAACATTATTTAAAAAATAAAAATTTAAGTAGCAATATTACAAATAAGGGAATTGTGTTATTCCGTGAGTAGACTAGAGCATTGCTGACTATCAAAAATTTGTAGTTTCTAATATATCTGTTTATATTGCGTAGTTTGCAAATATTGGAGGAATTACGTATAAAAATCCTATTGTGACATTCTCTTTCACGACAACAACAACAACAATAACAACCCAATATAATTTCAATAGTGGGGTCTGGGAAGGGTATTTGTACGCAGACCTTACCCCTACCCTAGGATAGAGAGGCTGTTTTCGATAGACCCTCGGCTCCCTCCCTCCAAGAACTCCCCACCTTGCTCTTGGGTTACTCGAACTCACATTCTCTTTCACAATATTCTTATATTCGCGAACTGAACTGTTTAAGAAAATGGTTCCTTCTATCCCGCAATATCTATTTGTAAGCATTATGATTATATGTAACCTTTTGATATACCTTTTTTTCCAACCATTTGTAATTATTTTTCAAAAAATTAGTTGTATCATATAATATTTTATGGGAAAAAAGCTTTTTGTTCTCCAAGTTGACATTTGTTTTTAGAATTTTAAGCAGCAAAAGTATACGTAAAGAGTAAAGACAGCGTAACTTTACTTAAAAACACAATAATAAGTATCTAAAGTCTAGTTTATCGTCAACCTTATATTTTTTAAACTATACAAAGAAGAAAACCCTATAGCTGCACATTCCATTAATAGATCAATGAAAACACTTCAGCATGTAACAATTTGATAGCACATATTGTAGCTTCCGATCAGCCCATATCTCCAAATTCTTAATTCTATTTTTTTCAATATCCGAAGTCTAAGGTTTGAGCCTAAAATCCGACCGTTTAGCCGAATATTAAAAAGATTTCAAGAACTTATACGAGAATTTTCTCTCTTTGAAGTTTCAATTTTAAATTAGCACGGCGTAAGGCTCATTAAAAACAGAAGTTTTCCTACTATAGTTTATTTTATTATCAGAGCTCGAATGTAGCACGCTCTTGCTTATTATGAACTGAAGTCAATTGCTTTGTTTCTAATTTATTTGAAAAACATAAGCATAAAACCTATTATTTATTTTGCCACATGAGATGCATACGTTAATTGTAATACTTGGCCTTCTAGTTGTGTTATCTTGCTAGCAACGAACTTTGAGATCTTAGATTTGGATCTCATAGAATAAGGTACGTGTGATTTATTTTGTAGACTTTGTATTTGAAGACTACACATGTCACGAGAAGTCAATTGAAAATGCTACTCCATTATTGAGTTACATGGAGTTTACGCAATTTATAGACTTGGTCAATTAAAATTATAATGGTGTTCGTAAAAACCCAAAAAATTGAACCAAACTGAAAACCAAATCAAACCGACCAAAAAAAATGGATACTTTTGATTTGGTTTTGAATTTTACAAACGAACAAATCTGGTTTGATTTTTGTTTTAATTAAAAAATNATATATATATATATATGTATGTATGTATATTTTTATATAAAGTTTCTAAAATTTTATGGTACATGTTAATCATTTACACTTTTAGTCTAGTTCTTTGCTATTATAATAATCTGGTTCTTTGTCTTTACATTCTAGTTTGATTTGTAGTTTTCTTTTGCTAAGTACGAGAACCTATTTCATATTAAAAATAATCTATTTTTAATTGAGTCCTTAAATTATTTATCACTATTTTATTCAATTATCATTAATATATCTTGATAAATGATAGATTTCTCAAAAAGCAATTTGTTTGATAGTGTTACGTTGAAAATGTAGTCACCGGAATATGTGTTTGGTAGTGTATGTCTCGCCTTTAAGAAAAAAAATGAGAAAAATCAAGAAAAAAAAGAAGAAGACAAGACCCGATAAAAACGGAATCGATAAAACAACCGACTTAATTGGTTTGGTATGGTCCAATATTTAAAAAACTAACTTACTTGATTTGATTTCTTTTTAGAAAAAACCGATCCAAACCAAACATGAACACTCCTAATTATAGTATTTATTTTGTAACATATGTAGAAAAAATAAAACAATCATACAAATATAATTTATTAATGATATTAGACTTTCTAATTAGATAAAAGTATTTGAAACTCACATACTTCTGTGTAACATCAAAAATTCAATACTTGAGTCTAGACAATCCAAGAATTATTTAATATTTCATGTACCCCTACATAAAGATAGTTGAAAATTCCCCTCGGGGCATTTAACATTTGCGCACTACAAAGTTGTCATGACCCAAAATTCATTATAGGTCGTGATGGCGCCTAACGTCGCAGTCAGGCAAGTCAACAGTGATTTACCAATTTGATTACTCATTTTATTACTTTCGAAATCACAAATGTTAATAAGAAAAGGAGATTTACATTCTAACTAACGGGAACGTACAACATTTGTAATTTATAAAAGAAATGAAAGGCGATAATAATATACGAAACTCTAAGCATCAACTAGTATAACCCCAAACCCCGGTGTCACAAGTGCATGAGCATTTTCTAAGGAGTACAATAATAATACAATATTTGTCTAGAATATAAATAAGACAGGATAAAATAAATAGAACGATGGAGTCTCGGTGGACTGCGATGCGTAGCCTGGAATGCAAGTCTCCTCAACAGACGCGCCTACGCGCCAAGATGATCACCAAATGAACCTAGCAGATGCTGCACATTTAGTGCAGAAGTGCAGCATGAGTACGTAAGTCAACGCGTACCTAGTAAGTATTTAGCCTAACCCCGGAGAAATAGTGACGGGGGGTCGACATCGACACTTACTAGAGGTCCAATGAAGCAATATGATAAATCAAAAGTAAATATAAAGCACACAAAAATAATGGGGTAAATCTGTAAGTTACATAGTCTTCCAAATATTTCTTTTAAGGTATGAATTTCTCAATCTTGTATTCTACCCTACCAGCTCCAAAAATGTCAAGTGCCAATATCAAATAAATAAGAAATACCATATAAAATACCGGGCATCAGCGGGAAGATTATCTCGTGAACATTCGGACTACTAGCGATATAGCGCACGATTCTGCCGAGGTCGTTCGACCCGATCCAGAATAATATGTACACTACCGAGGGTTGAGCGGCACGAACCATAGATGCATCTATTATACTACTGAGGTGTTTATCCCGCTCCACAAGAAAGAAAAAAGTTATCGAATTACGAGACACGTGCTTACAATACAATATACGAGCACAAAGGGAATGTAATCTTTATCGTTTCTCAAATTACTAGCCAACAACTCAAGGTGATAAGGCTCGGCCTAGTATACATATATTTATTTCTAAATCAATTCCAATTGTAAGTTCAATTAATTAGGCCAGCAAAAATGAGTCCAAATAATTCAAATATTACATGATAAAGTCCTAAGTCTACCCGGACATAAACATGCTTTAGCTACGTACGGACTCTCGTCACCTCGTGCGTACGTAGCACCCACAACTAGTTGCACATATAAATAATTATCACCTAAGGGGTAGTTTCCCCCTCACAAGGTTAGACAATAGACTTACCTCGCTTCGAAATTCCATAACCGACTCCAACGCCACTCAAACACCTCAAACTGATGAACGTCCCTCCAAAATTAGTCAAGCAATGTGCAAACCAATAAAAATGTACCCTAATACTCATAATAAATTAATTCATAACAATTTTCAATTTCGCTCGAAAAGTCAATAAAATCCACCCTCGGACCCACGTACTCGGATTTCAAAAATTTTTGAAGACAAACTTTACATATAACAACACGAACTCAAATATATGATTGATTTCCAATTTCATGGTCAAAATTCAAAATTATCAATTCTAGATTTTCTACCAAAACCCTACAATTTCTACTAGCATGTTTAAATCCTTATAGAATTCATGTATTTAACTCACAATACGTGAGAATTACTTACCTTGACATAGATGATGAAAATCTTCCCTCTAAGAGCTCCAAAAATTGCCCAACCAAATGAAAATGTGAGAGAAATGGGTTAAGTCTCGAATTAAAAATACCTCACTACCCAGCGACCTTCGCACCTGCGGTCCATTAGCCGTTTATGCGGCTCCGCACCTGCGAAAAATCCATTGCAGGTGCGGCTCCAGCTCAACCCAACAGTCCCTGCTTCTGCGCCCCAAGTAGCACATCTGCGCTTCTGCTTCTGCTAGCCTCAAGCGCTTCGCGCACCCATGCGTCCATGTCCGCTTCTGCGGCCCAGGACTTTTGGCCAACCTTCGCTTCTGTGCTTCTTTTCCGCATCTGCGGCTTCGCAGGTGCGGACACATCCTCGCACCTGCGCTACCAGACTTCCCCCACGATAATCGCACCTGCGATTGAATCTTCGCACTTGCGTGACCGCACTTGCGGCCACTCCTTCCACAGGTGCGATGGCACAAGATTTCAGCAGCATCAGTAGGTCCTCCCTCAACTTCCAAGTTCAATCGGTTTCAAACTCGAGGCCCTCGGGGCCCCAACCAAATCCACCAAACCATCCCAACACATAACACGAACCTACTCGGGGTCTCA